TGGCGACCCTCTCGACCCTCTCCCTGATCTCCTCCAAGCCATAAGCGCGAGAAGTGTCGTCATCCACCAGCCATCTACTCCCTGCGAGCCGGGTAGGACGCAGCGGGTGCGAAGGGGAGTCGAGTAGGAATTGCGGGATGGTGAGATCGTGTGGGTAGGGGTGGGGGTGGGACATGAGCGGTTGGAAGTCGGCCATGTTGGCTGCTTGTGTCCTTAGGGAGGTGGTGATGAGGAGAGAGGAGATGGTGGTGGTGAAGTAGAGGCAGATAACCGTAGATTCCCGGTGATGCTTTGGTGTACAGTAAACGTCTGATGGTCAGCGACTGGGTCGGCGAGCGCTCTGGTACGCCCAGTGAAAGGGTTACAGGGTCTTCGGGTATCACTTCCGGCAAAGTGCACATCTTCTAACGGTGGGAAGCACTTCATCCTCGAGCCAGCAGTTCTCTTCAGTGGTCGTAGCGAGCGCAAAGCAGGTTGGGCGCAAGATGTGCAGAAAAAAACTGTGCTGAAGATGAATAACCAGTGCCATCTTGAGCAGAACGAGTCCCCGAGGGCCTACATGTACTATTCCTGCAGTACTCTAACATAATACCAAAGGGAGGGTTTTGGACTTGGTAAGTCAGCCAAAAATTGACCGAAGCCGGGGTGGCCGTGTAGCTTCGTCGGCCCGGTAAGATGACGGTCCGAAAGCCGATGGACCCTTCCCGATGTCGGCGATAGCATTACACTTCTATCGCCGACGGCGGGGGAAAGCTTGGAAGAACCGACAATCCAGTAGGTATAAATTATACAACAAACTCTAGCGCAGTGATACACTTGCTTCACCTGCTCTTCCGCATATCCTTCCCAGTTCCTCTTTCCACTGTAGCTAAACAGTCGTACACCCTCGTCTCAAACCTGCACCTCCTGCACCTTGCCGCTTGAAATGTGAATATCCTCTCCGTCCTTGCCCGTAGCCGTTCCTTCCACGTCCTCCAAATTTCCTTCCATCTCCTGGTCCAAACTTACTTCTTCCTCCAACACCGTCTTCTCGTCACTCACACTGCGCGCATTCTCCCCCTCCTCTTGCTCGTGGGTACCGAGCACTCCCCCAGCAAGATTCGGCACGAACCCGGGTGTGCAGGTTTCCTCCGGGCCAGGGACATGCCCATCCTCCTGTGGGTTACTTTGTCTTGTTTCTTGGATCTGCTGAATCAGGGGAACAGGGGTTCCGTTCGGAAGGCTCGTTGTTGTACTCTCGACCGAAAGAGGGAGGGCGATATCAGCCGGGTCAACTCCCCTCGAAGGCGATGAGGTAGCCTGGGGAGCCACGTTCGCCGCTGCAGTCGCCGGTCCTCCAGCAGTCAAGAGTCCCGCGCCCTCCGCTTCGGGAGGGACGGGTATCTCCTCCAGATCGGTGATCGTCGTGCTCGTGGGTGACATGGCGGCCTCGGCGGGGAGCAAGACCTCTTTCCGGCCTTTACCGACGAGCTCGACTTTAATAGGCCGTTGTTCTGTGCGAGGGGTGACGATTACCGGTCCTCTGAGCTTGGACACCTCTGCGCGTAGGTCCTTCCCTTTCTCTTCATCAACTCCCCCATCTCTGGGTGCACCAACGCGCCTCAACAGCCACTCGATATCCGCGTCCCACACCGGGTCATCCTCGTATTCCCACGCCAACTCTCCCCCATACGTCTTCGGCAAGTTCTCCCTCGGGACGAACCTCAACAGCTCTTCCACACCCCTCTGCCCCGCAGGGAGAATATGCACTTTCGCCCTGGTCTGCTCGTCGAACCAGTTCTTGATCCAGCCCCAGACGGTGCCCCACCACCCGGGAGCACCGAAGACGAATATGCTTCCTAACGTCTCGGGGTGGTTGGCTTGAGCTAGAGTGCTCGCTTGCGCCAGGTGATGCCGGAAGGAGAACATGGATCCTAGGGAGGTGCCGGAGAAATCTATGATGGTGGTGTTCTGGATTAGGCGGATCGTGTGCGGGGCCAATGGCGCAGGGGGTTCGGGGGAGGAGTGGGGCAGGCTACCGGGAGGGAGAAGCGGGGGATGGATGGGGACAGAGAGGCAGAGAGGGAAAGCGAGGTTGTGTAGGAGCTCGTACAGGGCCACACTGAGGGGCATGTTAGCAGGCGGACACAAGCAAGCCAGGTGTGGTTGGGAAGGACGTACATGCGCCGATAGCGGACCTCTTCTGGCACCTTTCCCAGCTCCTTAAGCACCCCACTGGTGAGTACACTCAGCTTGTACACATACAGCGGATTGCCGTGCTATTCTCCATCAGCATATTTCCAGAATCAGCTATCAGAAAGCTCACCCGGTCCCGCCTGCCCACGAACTTGGGATATGTCTGTTTCCATGACTCGTATTCCTCCGGGACGACCTCATCGCGGTATAAGGTGTCAACCTGATGCTTCTTGCGCCATTCGAGTGTGGCAAAGAACTGGGTCGCAGCGGCTTGAGGCTCCCACCTACGGGCTTTGAGGAACCGGCTGTCCGCTATGAGTCAACGATTTGTGCCCAGATGAACAGATACGTACACAAGCATGAGATCGTCAACACTCGCCTTCGACCCCTCCTCATTAGGTGGCACATAAGCCCCTTTACCTTCCAACACGCTCTTGAACGCCTGCAGCGCCGCTTGCTGCTTCTCACTCAGGGTGAAGACGAACGGGTTGTCATGTGTCGCATGTCGAGATGCGGATGACCGACGATGGTGATGCCCATGTGGGTGATGGGGGTGGGGAACGTCGGTGGGGTTAACGGGCATGGTGGTTGATGTGAGAGGAGTTGAGGCCACACACGCCCTCGATGGGTCTGTGCTCAACCGCTTACTCTATCCGGCACCGTAAAACGCAACGCCCTCGGCGCCGACACGCGGCATATGACGTGGACATAGCCACTGGATATTAGGTTGCATTCCGGTTACTTTACACGAATAAATAGTACATTGCATATCCGCCAATAAGAAAAGTAATGGGCATGAGGTGATGATTGTCGATTTGTGTTGCAGCTGTACGTTGGGCGTGCGCTACCGACCGACCGCAGCCAACCTAGCCGCTCTCACCCCCCTTCCACTGGCACCCGTCGCACCGTCTTTGCCTTTCGCACCGCCCAGCGAGACTAGCCCGAGTGTTGCGTGTGTCAGCGCTAGGCGGGTCTCGTCTGAGGCGTAATTTGGCAGACGGATGTTGTAGTTCCGCTCTGTAGGGGGTATTAGCGTTTCATGTAGGAAGCAGGAGATGGTAAGTTAGAAGGGTTGAAGGGGAAAAAATGCAATGCAAATGCGCAGGAAAAGAGTCAAACGCGTAGGACAAGGGGGAAAGACGAACCAAGATGCAATGCCAGATCCTTCGGCTCTAACGTATCCGAACCCCGATGGAGCGCCATATCCGCCGCAAACTGCGTAACACTCTCTATAAACTCATCCGCCGCTGCCAACAAGAACTATTCGCCCTCCATTCAGCCCACTGGAAACAACGAAAGCACAAGGAAGACGCACGTTTTCCGCGTTCGGTTCTAGCTCCAGCTCGGGCTGGAGAGATCGCAGGACTTGGGTCATCGTACGTGAATCGCCGGAGAGCACGACTCCAAGCGTGTCAGTTTCTTCTGCTGGAGGGAGGGGCTGGGAAGGGTCGAATATCCTAAGCTCGGGCACGCCGAACGTGCTTGTAGGGAGAACGAAAGGAGGTGCGGCTATCCCAATTTCCAATGAGACACTCGAATAGGACAAGGAAGCACGGAAACGCACACATTGTACTCCCCCCAAAACCATCGCTCAGCCCGAGCGTAAGCGTCGGGCGCTCACTCCCTCCCCCAACCCAAGCGGGCCAACTCCACCCTCTCCCATCCTCCCGCTCCCAACCGATTTTCGTCTCCTCTGGCAGTTTTTCAGGAACGGGGAAGAGCTTGTCGTACCCGATCGTCATCGGGGAACCGGCAGCGGCAGCGGCAGTCGCGTGGGGGGAGATGGGAGAGCGCGGCTGAGGGAGCTGCAGTGTGAAGGAGCCGGGTGGAGGTGCACTGTCGTACGGGGGAGGTATGATGGTCGGTTTACCGGGAGGCGGGTTGGTAGGAGGGGCGAAGATGACAGATGGGGCCAGGGCGGTCCACTGTGGCTAGGACGGGTCAGCCATACTGCTAAGGGAAGGTGAGAGGAACGTACGCGCGGGCCGTCAATCCGTTGTCCGGTCTGTGCGTGCTGAGCTGGGGCGATCGGGGTCGCTGGTGACTGTTGCTCCGCGTGTGCGCGCTTTTCTTGCGCGATCCTCACTAGTCGTGGGGCGAACGTTCGTGCGAGTGCTTGCAACTGTCGAACAGCAGAACGGGATTAGCATACACGTAAGACAGGACAAGATGCGTTGACGTACCTTCTCCACTTGAGCAGGATCGATCATCCCCGTTTGTCCCCAATGGATAAACTCAGGCATCTTCCTCACCAGCAAGCTCGCGAGCTTGTCGATATCCTGCCCTGATGGTGGTGGGCGGTTGACAGCAGCGGCGGCAGCCGCGCCGCCCGCCGCGATGAGTGCTTCCCGGTTGGCAGCACCTTCGAGGATGTTAATGAACGTATCGGTCTGCTTGCGTACTGCTAGGGGATCCTGGTTGGCAGGTGCGACGGGCTGACCGCCGCCCGTGGACAGGGACATGCCGGTTGTGCGCAGAGTTGGATGGCGAGCTCGCGGCAAGCGCGCGGCCCCGGAGACGGCGTAGAGTCAAGTTACAGAGAGATATCAAGTGCTCCTGAGGCGACCAGACGATCCTTAGTAGTGATCAAAGCAATGAGTCCATTTGCAGTGGATGGTGTATTGAAATACAGATGGTGGAGAGAGTACAACAAGTATAAGCGCTCACGTCCACCCGATGAAGCATATACACTGCCACCCACATACTTGTCACGCAACCACCATTAATATTCCTCTTCCATTCATGCATCGATTCCGTCCGCGAGAATGAAGCTTTCCCTTCTCATACCATCCTTCTCATCCATTTCTTCTTGTACTCGGACATCGACGAATCATGCGCTTCTAAATGGCTTGCTCTCGTTGGCTGGGGCTGCTCCTCTTTTGCCGGTTCTCGCAGTCCATCTCCGAGCCGAAACAAATCGTCCACCCTCTGATTAGCTCTGTATATCATGAGCTGCAGTTCGAGCTGCGAACGCGTCAGCATCGGGCGGTACATCAAACCTGTGGATAGCTCACCGCCTTGAATTGTTTATCAGTGATGATGCCTTCCTCCACCAGCGGGCGCCAGTAAAGTATCGCTCCTTTGGTCACGTCGTACAGCTCATGCATCTTAGCTAGCAAAGCTTGGGACTCGACGTCACCGTGCCGGGCAGGGATGGTGGTCATGCTGTATGCACTGTTGTTCATACAGATACGGCTGGTGATGACTTCGACACATGCTGCCCAGTCTTCTTTCGACATCATCCGTGAGTGCTCCATTCCAAAGCTGAGGTTCTAGTAAGTGTGTCGGGATCCGTTGATCCAACCCAAGAGGTGTCCAAAATATCGGAGGTCTGAATATATCAGTCCGATGGGAGTTGTGCGATAACTCGCTGCTGAAAAGGGGGGGGGAAAGTCGGTAAAGGCTTGTAGGTACGAAAGTTGGTCAGTCAGTCGGTATACCGTGCATGTTGGGGGACGTGACTCACATCTAATGTTATGGTGGAAAGGGGAATAAACACGATGTGAACCCCCTCCGAGCTCCATTTCTTGATATACCAGTCACTACTCCCACCACTCACCGCATATTCTAAGCGAGCCCCGGGTCGTCAAAGACGCGTCTAATTCCACTCGGACTTTTCCCTTTTTCTTCTGACGTCTTCATCATCGCGTCGGCGCCCCAAAACCTTATACCTGCAGGCTGCGCCGGGATTGGAGAAGCGGGAAATCCGCGAATTGAATATAATACTCTGGCTGGCGAAGCTCTGCTCAGGTCCGGCATTTCGCGCTTTGGTCACAAGGCCAGCCTGACAGTTTATGAAAGGGAGATGCCTCGTGCCCAATACTTCTCAATAGCAACTGGATCGAGGTAACTTCTAAAGAATCTTCTAGTCTCGAATGCGGAAATGCGGAGCTAGATAGCTATTGATAATTTTATTGGGGTGCAAAAGAGGGTGTTGGAAACCTGCAGTCTGTCGCCTGCCTCCCATTTTCTCACCACTCAGCACATTCATTACATATATAGCCTTGCTTTTTTTGTCAGCTCTGTGTCATTCTCTTCCCTTTCCCTCCCCCGCTCGTATCTAACTCAGATGTCCAACCAATCCAATACCAACACTTCTCCCCCAGTCAACAACAAGAGACGCCATGAACCTCTTGATGACTCAGACCTGTCAGCAAAACGCAGCAGAACACTCTCTTCAGAGCAAGCAAAGGCTCTGGAGCAGATCGCTACCGATATGCTTCTATCGACAGATACCAAGGAGCACTGTTGGTCCAACATTGAGACGGCAAATGAAGGAGCTCAGAACATGGCTGTCATGCATATGGCCCATGCATTGCCTATTATGCCTACGTATCATCCAGGTTAGTCTGTTGAATCACTCGTTGAAGTGATGGAGGCTGATGTACATTCAGGAGATGTTCATCAACCGCACACAGTAGTGATACTCACTGCTCCGAACAACCTCCCTCCAACCATACTTCAACAACTGGTTCCACACCAACAGCAGAGCAAGGATCCCCAGCCAGAAAATGATACGAATGCCCAGTATCCTGTGGACAGCTCAAGTGAATATCCGAGCACCAAGGAGGAATACCATGGCGACGAGGAGGAGGGCTTTGCAGATGACGATGATGATGCATCTCAATCTCATGGGGACTTGTACGCAGGATTGAAAGTTGGCGTCTGGACGTGTTCGATTTGTGAGCACTTCGGTTTTTTCAAGCATGTGTAGATGTTAGATGTCTCTGGATGCGGACGAAGATAGTGTTACAGGTAGCGACAGTTTGAGCGTAGGGCACGAGTCATAGGTAGATCCGAGTTTAGCGAGTGTGCAGGAGTGAGAGTCCCAGTAACGCTCAGGCCGACCGAACGTCAGCAAAGGCCTCGCAGTCGATCGCTCAGGTCCAGATGTGCCAGGTGTTGGCCGTTCATCAAGCCAAGCGCCTGTCGGGGATACCGTAAAAAGGGAAACGCCGATAGTGGCTATGCCTGCCGGCCAATTCTTCCGCCTTTCGCCGGGCGTTATGGCAGGGCAAAAGGAGAGTCCATTGTGCATATATTTACTCGTCCCACAACGCACTACCCATCTACTTCAACTATCTTCATTACCACCATCCCGACTACTTTCATCGACACAAGATGGCGAAGAGCAAGGCTAACAAACGTAAATCTGTTGTGGCAACGAATGGCTCACCTGTCAAGCCAATGATGTCTCCACCACAGGCACCACCGGCCACCATGTCCTCGAACGCTGTACCATCGAACGCGGTTGCAGCGCCATCGTCGAACACTCTTGTCCCGAAGCATGCGACTGCGATGGACCATCCTCGACAGCCGCCGCTGCAATGGACGTTCCTGGACGAGTACATCAAGACTGCGGCGTACATTCCATCATGCATCGGAGACAGCAAGGAGCTTGTGTACCTCACACAGCGCGATATCGCCTTAGCAAAGCTGGATATATTGGGGAAACATATTGTGGAAAAGATGCCGGACTTTGAAGAGAGCAGGAAGAAAGGACAGTTACAGGAAGACCAGTATCAGAAGGTGTGTCGTGTTACGCCACACGACCTGCAAGGGCTGACGATCGCTCAGTTCAAGGAGATGGAGAAGGCATATCGAGCGAAGATGCAAGCTACTGACGCTGCCATTGCAGCTGCACCTGGAGCGATGAGAGGAGATTCGAAGGGCAAGGGCAAGTCGGCAGCATTGGCGCTGCCTTTTCCGCCTTATGGACACCCTCAACCCTATTGGTCCCCTACACCGGAGCAGCTGGCATCGCCCAGTTTATCCCGGTATACACCTCATGAGGTGGAAGATCTCTCCGATCTGATCCAATATGCTATACGACCTCCGCCAGGGTGGAAAGACCGAGAGGAAGCACACGTCGAGAGCAATCATTATCGACCCTATGCCTACACAAGTGACTACGTTGCCCTGCGCATGATCCGCAAAATGCCGATATATGTGTCTATGATGCGGTCTGGGGAGTTGACAGAAAAACAGTTAGCGCAGGTGTGTCCTACTCTCAACAGTGATTTGCGCGCCTAATGTTGTGTGTAGGCCAAAGCGGTAGCGCGAGAGCACGCTCTGAAGGTTTTAGCTCGACATGCACGCACACAGGCGATAGGGGTGGACGAGGCAACCCAGCAGCTGGCCAATATGGCGCTTGTACCAAGTCCTACAAGTGGGGGAGAAGTAGCCACAGTGAACGGGGATGGCACAGGGGGTGGGAAGGGAAAACGGAAGGGCGGGAAATGAGCGGCAGAGGAGCTAAGCGAGATGAGGAGACGAGGCCGTTGCTATCGGTGCTGTATTTCTCTCCATCAACTGTGATCTCAATGCACTTCTGTTGAAAGCATCAGTACTTGGGACAACGCTTTGCCCTGGGTGTCTCGATAAGGCTTGACTTCCTCTATCAATCTCGACTTCCACAAGAATCTGGAAAGGCACAATGAATTACTGCATGACTGGCTCGATCTTTGAATGTACTGAGTTCCCACGGGGTCCCCTTCCGCACCGACAGGCTATCAATTATTCCGGACATGGTACAGGTGACCAAGGTACAAGACGGCGAGGCTCCGTTTTATCAGATCGAAGGCATTTCGGAAGCCTTCTGAGAAGTGGAAATCTGGTTGTCTAACACACGTCGCAGCTTTTCCTCCAGTCGTGGACATACCCCCGTTGACCAAACACATTCTCGTAGACTTCAGTTCGAGAGGTTGTTATGGACTCCTAGACTTCTTTCGAGGCTTCGAACAGCACCCAGTCACTTTGAATTCGGGAGACTACACATCGTTCCAGTCTCCCATAGGCCCACTATGGTATACCGTCGCACCCATTGGCGCCCACAACATGCTGGGTATCATGCAGGACAACGTCAACTTCATATTCCAGGACGACATTCTGCATTTGACCACCCCATTCATCGACGATATAGGAGGGAAAGGTCCTAAGACTCGATATGAGAAAGCGAATGGGGAATTCGAAACGATCCCAGGCAACCCCGGCATTCGACGATTCGTTTTCGAACACCTCAGCAATATGCATCGAATCATTCAGCGAGCTGAGCATGCGGGAGGCACCTTCTCCGGACCAAAAGTACAACTGTGTGTCCCGGAAATTATACTTGACTTCCGGTGCCGGGGCAGTATGGGTATCAGAAGATCTGACAAGTCCCTTCGTTTCCCTCGCGCCTCTATTGTACTCTACACCTCCCAATGAGGCGTCAGATGTAAGTGCGCTGGAGGGGGAGTTGACAGTAGTAGATCGTAGTTCCTAGATGTAGTACCTGCCGGATTGAAGATAGTTTCGAAGGGAGTGAGTGGTCCGAAGACCGATTCAAGGGTTGGATGTCCTTTCCGAAAGCCCAGGCAGGACACCGCCGATGACTACCAAAGGCCCGCGCAGCTGGAATGACCGTCCAAACCGAAGGAGTGGCCTAAACAGCTCGAAGGGCTTGATAATGGGCGATTCGGGGCGTCGTTCGAGAATCCGAACAGGTAGCAAGGATGAGAGAATCAAAGGGTGAAGTTAACGATTGACTGTAGGATAAGGTGTAGTATCAAGTATAATGTAAGTGAAGGGAGATAACCAGAGTCGAAGCAGCATCGCTATCCGAAGTACTCGAATCCTTCCATATACTTTCGGAGCAGTTCGGACTTTTCGAGTAACTATCCTACTCTATTCCTAATCTATGTATAGGGCCCCTTCGTCTTCTCATCGTCCTTTCGGACCTCGTTCAGAATGTCGTTCGGAGCGTCGTTCGAACATCAGATCCGAACTCGAAATTCGAATGTGCAGCACACTATAAAGGAGCCTACTCCATCCTGAATCTGGCCCGTATCGACTACCCCTCGGCTTAGCTATTTCATAACCAGCACAACATGCAGCGTGTCTTCAGACTCGTATCAGCCGCCCTCTTGGTTACCTCTTTGGCGGGCTTCATATACAACCAAGGTTTGAATTCTTGATGCAAGAGACGTGCGGATAACGGTACCACGTTGAGGCCACTGAGCATGCATAATGTACTGACACGGGGGTACTCTGCAGACCTCTGTTGCAATCAATTTGAGAATCCGGTGACCGACCTCTCCTGGTAATCGATCGTGGTTCCTCTTCTCAATACGGTCGGCATGCTGCTCTCAGATATACAAGGAGTGGTGGCGATCTACTGCGTGGCATTGTGTGCTGCACATTCGAATTTCGAGTTCGGATCCGACCTTCGAACGGGTCTTCGAACGACATGCCGAACTCGGCCGGACCGGACTATTAAGAGTGGACCCTAGACATAGCCTTAGGTAATATAGATTAGGAATAGATTAGGTAGTTAGTCCGAACGTCCGAACCGCTCCGAACGTATAGGGATTCGGGTACTTCGGATAGGGACTGTTACTTGCTCTCTCTCTCTCGTTGGGCTCTTTGGCCATCACTTACCTTACACTAAAACTACTCCCATACTCTACAGTCAATCTTTACTTTTGCTCTCTGATTTCCTTAATCCGACTGTTGGTTCGAAACCTCGAACCCACCCAGCTACGCTCGTTAGCCCCTTCGAATCCTTCCTGCAACGCAGCCATTTCGGACTCCCGTCTTCGGATTGCTTGCGCTTGGGTTGGCCTTGGCCACGCTCCGGCCTGGGGTTAGGAACGCATACCAAACCCTCGAATTGACCGTCAGACTTCCCTTCCTCTAGAGTCTATTATCGATTAGGCCACTACTAAACGACCGAGCTACTACTGCCTAGGCTCGAGCTACCACTGTCAACTCCCCCTCCAGCGGACCTACTCCGGACGCCTCATTGGGAGGTGTAGAGTACAATTGTATAATGACGGCGGGACATGGTGAGCGCAAAACGCTCTCTTATGTGTCTAAGCTGATTGAAACATCGCAGTGCAATGGAGCCTGTATGTTGTGCTCAGCTTCTCCTGGAAGGCGGCTTGGGACTGGATTGTGCTGTGTATAATTGCACGACTCGAGCTAGTATGTGCTATTTTAGGCAATGCCCACAGCTTAGGCACCAGGAATCGTAAAAGATTTCTATGTACGCGGGACTGTGCTGACTACAGCGCTAAAGCGTGTCAAAACATGTGAAGTGTGACATGCGGACGTACGTAAGCGATGTCCCAAACAGGGGAGACATGAAGTGGAGAATTGGGCATACCGGTTCGCTGGCACCGGTACCGGTGTTAGAGTGCTGATCGAACGACAGCTGTAATGCAGCCGGTGACATGACGATCATGCCGAGGCCCAGAATACCGAGGCGATGATTTTAGCATGTGGTCTTTGAGACTTCTTCCTGGACCAGAGCGAGGAAGGCAAAGGACAAAGAGAGAGGTTGTGGCTAGCGCCGGGTTTGGGTGGTTGAAAGAAGCGAGATACAACCTTGGGGTTGAACAGGGGCAGGGAAAGTGTCATTTGGGCAGCGACGTAGGTGCACCCTGACGAGTATGCACTGCAATCAGACCCAACAACGAGACCAAGATGACAGTATCTGAAATACTCATGGTATCCCACCCGATATCTGCTTGCCGGCCAAAAAGGGAGGTGAAACAACGAGCGCTTTGACGAGGCACTATTTCAGGTACTCCGCAATGGCATTGGCTGGGATACATTGACATTCAAGAACATGCCTGTATCGGAGCGAAAGATCGCTTGATCGCCCCTTGGCCGCAGAGGATCTTGGTTGGAAGAAATAGGAGATGATTTTGTCGTTAAGAGCAAGGACACCGGATATATTGAGGTTTCATCTCCATATATGAAGCTGAAGAGACGTCAACAGTGAGGCAACTCGTCGCGAGGTACAGAACGTTTCCGACAGTACAAACAATTTCAGACCGAGTACGGTCGCTGGCTGTGTTTTGCGTGCATATCACACAATAAGCGCCCACAATTGCACCCGGTGAGGGACTTCTACGCCTTCTAAGAAGTTATTACCGGTCCTTTTCAAGCAACCAATCGCCAGATAACGGTTCCAATCTAGGATGGACTTCACATCTCTGTCTGACTTTATATGGGTGCATACCTTTTCTGTCGCTTGTTATTCGGCACCCTGCACACCGCCAGATTTGCCAGCCCACTGGAAAACGCCGCGTTCTGTCAATGATCGCCGTGATGGAGAATTATCGTTTTCTCACTGGTCAGGACCGACAATGTCTCATGGACGCGCGGACTGAATGACTTCAAGCAACAGACCAATTGGTGATTTTGGCAGTGGGATGCTGTCCATCCGCTCACACTGTCGGAGCGTAGAGCGCCTATCCGATGACGACGCATTCTTGTCTTGGCCGTTATTCTACCAACTACTGATGAGGCTCGACGGTGAAAAGCAAAGTCCGGTGACCAGTGCATACGTTTTGCCGAATCTGGCCAGAAGCAAGGTGCATATATCTCCTCCCGTTTAGCCAGCGTTGACCCCCCGCGCTCAGACTTATCTCTGTCCCTCTTGTACCACTCATCTGCCTCACCGATCTAGGATCCATCGCCATCCCTTTCTTAATGCCTCCCCTGCATCATTATCCACGCCTTAAGCATGTTGGCCACGCATCAGCTGCAAAGAACCATCTCACGTGGACGTCGTCCGCTCCGACAGACGCTCACCTTCTACACCCCCCAGTGCTCCAGCATTCTCATTCCGAGTCTGATTTTTCCCGCCCACAGAAGCATCATGGGAGCGACGAGCAGAATCAATATCATCGTACAACCTTGAGGGGCTGGGAGACCAGATGGTTAGATTGGATCGTCCACCTACATCGGCCCATTCCAGATGATAAAAAGTACGTGCTCACTATTCTGAACCATGTAACGGTGAAGTTAATGTTTGAATTCGTCGATTTTCGCGCCTTGCACAGAGAGCTTGTTTGGCTAAATGAAGACAGTCGCGCCCCTGAATGGCTCGAGCTCTTCTATGATCTCGTCATAGTCGCCGTTCTTTCCGTCTTCAGTGAGACACATGAGGTCAGCACCGGCCAGTCTGTCGCCGTTTATTTTTCCTACTTCATCATTATGTGGTTGGTGTGGGCGCCGCAGACCTTATACGATGTGCATTTCCTTGCCAACGACTGGCTCCATCGACTGTTCAAGGGCGCTGAATTAGCCACATTCGCTTTTATTGGAGCATGTGCTGCCCAATTCGACCCATGGAACGTCACTTGGAGCGCCGAAGTCAGTCAGGAAGCTGCAATTCTCAATGCCAAGGCAAGCAGTTTCAGAGGAGTCGCCATCTCCTACGCCGTTGGGAGAGCATTGCTGGCCCTACAATACGGGTTCGGTAAGGATATTTATCTTGAATTCAGCATAACCCAATCCTGATCAATCAACGTGGACAGTCTGTATTCGTGTTCTCGTTCAAAGTATTGACAGTGCTGTTCCGGAGTCCAAGGGCCATTTGTCGCTTGCTCTGGTCCCGGGGCTCGTGCACGGAGTCTCTGGAGGGTACGTAGAGAATGCTACTTCGTCTTGCTCCGTGAGCAACAGCTAAATGGTTGACACAGACTATGGATCACTGCTGCATTCCTGTCACAGTCACAAGCAGCCAAACTGGCACTCGCATACTCAGGAATCTTCCTAGAGTTTGTTTTCGTGGTCTTTCAACCCCTTTTCGAACACGGCTACATCGATCCACCAGCCGAAATCATCAGCGAACGATTCGGTGCACTCACCCTAATTATCCTAGGTGAAGGCATTATCGGCTTGATCCGGAATTTCAGCTTTGTCATAAGCGGGTTCGGGTTTACCACCACGGCATGTATGTTATCCATCCTGTCCCAGCCATGAAACGTCAGGTGCTAACCTTGCGCATCAGACCTGCAATGCTTTTGTGCCCTCGTGATTGTCTTCGCAGCTTGGCATTTCATGTTCCATGGTTTCTCTGCACACACATTTGGCGCACAACGCAGCTCTGGCGCTCTTTGGCTTATCCTTCACCTGCCATTGCACTTCTCCCTCCTCCTCCTCTTCGCTGGTATTCGTACGGCCACAGTGTATGGCAACATGGTGGGCGCGATACAGGAGGTCCAAAACACACTTAGCCCTATAGTGTCGGCGATGCAAGGTGGAGATCTGGAACTCCATACCGTCCAGAGCCAGAATGTGTGGATGACAATGCAGCTCGGAAAACTAGACATGCCCACGCGCTGGGAAGACCAAGTCGGAATCTGGCAGAAAGCAATTGGAAACCGCAGTGAACCAGCCGTCGACCTCACCATCAGCAGCTATGGATATATTGCCGAAATATGGCTCGCAATTGCCGATGTTTGTGATAGCCCTCTCCTGCCACAATATTGATCGCTGATGATACATTGTGCCATTCAAGTCCTTCGAAGTCGAACTTTCCGACACCCTCATCAACCAAACTGAAGTGATTGCAAACCTAAACGACACATGGATTTCCAACCCGGTAACTCGTGTGGCACTGGAGCAGGCAGACGATAGCATGTACCTATCCTTCGCTAATGACTTCAGCGTCGAGATTGCCCAAGGAGTGCTGTTCTTCTTCCCAGCTGCGGTGAGCATTGTTTTCGTCATGAGTACGACATATAGACCTACTGACGGGCATCGTGTCGGGTATCGCATTCGTAGGGTGGCCTTCTGACTCTCACTGCACTCCAGGTTTTGCTTCGCACGCAGCCCCAAGGAGTATGGATGTGGGTCTTGTGGTTTCTCCAGCTCAGCGCTGGAATCGTCCTGTGTCTGCTCGGATTCCTTGGCCAGGGAAACCAATTCCAGAATCCTGCCAACGAGGCCGCGTTGTTGGTATACAAGCTGCTGGATGTGAGTTGGCTTAGTACGTCATGATTATTCATTTGGATTCATGGTGGCTGATGACGTTGTAGTGCCAATCGTCTCCATTGTGTATGGCTCCCTGATAATTCTCGAATATGTGAGTTCCCCCCTGTATGAAGTGTTTGATTTGGCATCCAACTGGAGACACAGTGGCTTCTTCGCCTCGCCAAATGGAGGTCACTCCACCAAGAACCGATGGCACAACACGCGAAGTCTTGTGTGTAGACCTTACTTACAAGAGAAGACATACACTGATAGATTGGATGCAGCAGCGTCAGCCGAGGAAGGTAGAGGCACACTACTGCATATTCCTCAATTTCACATCGACGGCGTTGTGGTTGACAAGCAAACCCCTGCCAAAGAACGTTCAGCATGAGTGTTGTCCACCGCGCCATACGTCAAAGCTTCTTGAAGTTTTCATCTCCCCCTTGTATAAACCACGCACACCCGTCATCTTTAAGTGATGTATCACACTGTTTTCTCCCTCTCGCTGCTACATGTTTACTAACTGCAATCATATGTCACTTAGTCTGGTAACCTGTGAAGCACTGGCCGTGTGCGGCACTCGCCTCCGAAGAAAGGTCTCTAGCAGCAATGAGAATGTCATCTGCAACTCTGGCGTTATCATCCTGGATACTCGAAACTCGTTCATCCCTTACCAACAATCGGAGCATGCCTGAACAACTGACCTCGCCTGATCCGGTGTCAGGCATTGAATGCTTCTCAGTATTTCCATTTTATGCGAGTTGCATGACCATTCATTGGTGATTATGAGGTAAAGGAACAGTCAGTGGGGCACATCTCCTTCTTCAGTCATAGCAGGTGATCGTTGGACAATGTGGTGATGGGTTGATTCTCGTCCACTGACCCTTGGCTCGCCGCACACATAAAAGACACGCCTCCGTCTGCCTACTTGTCTAGCAACTCACCACAACGATCTGCTCACCCTCATCGGCCCCTCACATCAATATGCAACCCTTGTCTGCCTTCTCCGTGGCATCTCTTTTTGGTGCTGCTTTTGCTGCCAGCCTTGCAGCTGATTCGATTCAATGTGGTAACAATGCACAGCGTATGTCCCTTGTCATGAGCCATGTATTGCATCTGGATAATGAGCTGCTTGTGCTAGTGGAGTGCTGCGATTTCGTGGGAGACCTGGATAACATTGCTCTCGCTCCGGACTGGTTCTAATCCTTCTCGAGGAAAACGGCATTCAACCTGAAAATCTGCACGGTCTATTCGGCGCAGAGTGCTGGTCTACGTGTACTGCCAGTGAATGGTAAGCTTGAATAAGCCTCGTCAAGCATCACATTGAATTTGGCTGATTGTTTTGAGCTCCAAACCTCTGTTATGCTCTAATGTATACACGAAGGGTCTTGAACTTGCCACGAACTGTACCTACTACGTCAGCGAGTAGATCGGCTTCCACGCAGGGAGTACTTTGTACCAGAGGGGCAGTCGAGCCTTGCATCGTTCTTTTCTCGTCATTCTTTAGCACGTTGAACAGTTTGACTAAGAGTAGTGAATTCCGCCTTTGTATATGTTCCAGTTGATATCAACAATCGTGTTTCATTGATGAAGACTGAAATGTCTCCGTTCTCATGATCACGGTCTTCGGAGTTGTTGCCCCCGACGTTTGTCCGCTTCTCCACTGCGTGCTGCCATCCACCACCTCGACGTCCCTGACGGCGTCCACGCTTCGTCCTCAACAGCGACAGCGCATACAACGATGCTCCTCAGGCCTCGACTCGTCCTACGCACCTCTCTACCTACCCTTCGTTCTCTTCCGATCACCGCCCACCAGCGTCCATCTCTCCGCCATCCAGCACGCCAGCTCAAAACCCGTGCATTTGAGTACGCCACCTCTTCAGATCCTCCTACTGGTGGAGGTGGGCCTTCTGGGCCTTCAGGCGGTGGAGCTGGATTCGAGTTTGATGTGAGGCAGGGTGTAGAAGCAGAGACGTGGCCGGGATTCACACTCAGGAGTCCGAAGCAAGTCAGTAGTGTTGTCCTCTGCGCCAGGAGGACGCTGATGGCAGAATAGTTGGTGCAATATCTAGATCAGTATGTGATCGGTCAAGAGCGAGCAAAGAAGATCCTTGCGGTTGCGTACGTCCTCCATTTATCCCGTCGTCCCGCATACAGCATCTTAATAGAGTATATGCAGGGTGTTCAATCACTACAACCGCGTGCGGGCCAACCTCTCGTCTAGTTTCGACGGGGAAGCAGACGACGCCTTCTTTTCTCCCTCCGAACTCAATACCTCTGGCATGCCCGGTGTGCCAGGGACTGGTACACCGTTTGCCAGCCCGTTGCTGTACCCACATCTGCAACCGAGGAGGCCATATATCCAGCAGAGGGTGCCACAGCCCACGTTTGACAAGAGCAATGTGCTTGTTATGTGCGTAACTCTTTCCCTCTCTTTATTCTGTCCACCATTCAGTGTATTATCCCGTCTCTTCTTTGTTGAGGGGCGCATGAGTGACAACCCCTGACTGGGCTTTTGTAGAGGGCCGACAGGGACGGGCAAGACACTGCTTGCCCGAACCCTTGCGAGGGTGCTAGACGTGCCATTCGCGATGAGCGACGCGACTACTTTCACTCAGGTGCGTTTCCTTCTCCGCTAGACTGAGAGAGGAGTGACAATGCATGCAGGCTGGCTGTTAGTGGGCTTTTATCAGGTGGGGAAAGCTGATGGATTGATTATCTTGGACTGTAGATGTCGGGGAGGATGTGGAATCATGCATACAACGACTGGTATGCGTTACCTTGTAAATGGGGCGAGGATTACTCTGACCCTGCATATAGCTGCAAGCCGCGAACTGGGATGTGAACCGCGCCCGGTATGCCTTCTCCTTCGTCTTCACTCCATCTCTTGACAGGAGCGCAGAGTGGGCATTGTTTGCATCGACGAGTGTGACAAGATTGCGCGAAGGCTATCAGACGGGAACAGCAAGGATGTCAGTGGTGAGGGAGTACAGCAAGGTAAGCAACATGTTTCAATATAGCACTTAGGCACCCGTTGACCTCCTCATCCAGCCCTCCTCCGCATGCTCGAAGGCTCTCTCGTAACCGTCTCCAGCGGTGGTAGTGCCACCTCCCATTCCCCGCCTCCACCAGGAGCGGCTTCTGATCTCTCACCAGGCAACCCAGCAGTTGGCCGGGTGGGAAGGAGGACAAGGGAAGGGCTACCTGGACATGGTGCATTTTTCTATTCTTTTTCTTCCTTCATCTCCGGCATTCCATTCTTTCTCCTCGTGACGTATTTGTCTCCCTTGCTTCGGCCCTCTTCATTTTGTACGAACCGCAGCTGACTTGGGATGCATGTAGCCAACAAGGCGGAAAACTACCAGATCGATACGAGCAACATCCTGTTCATCCTGTCAGGGGCATTTGTGGGCTTGGATAAGGTAGTACGCCAGAGGGTGGCCAAAGGGGTGCGTATCACCTTTTTTTTTCCCCGCTGCATAAGCCTGATGGCACTTCAGTCGATCGGATTCGACGCACCGCTCACTCGCGGCTCCCACGATGGGAAGGAGACTAAGGTCAGCAAAGAAGAGGTCGGAAAGCAGTTCATTCCTTTCTTCACGCCCAACGACGAAGCGAATGAATTCGATCTGATGGACCTCGTTGAGCCGAGTGGTGCATTCTCTAATCCTTCATGTAGGCTTCCTGTCTGATCAAAAGGGGTAGATCTTGTTAAATATGGCTTCATACCCGAATTCATTTCCCGCCTACCTGTCCTTGCAACACTCCAACATCTTCCACCGCGCCTATTGCTCCGCGTCCTTACCGAAGTTCGCAACTCCCTTGTCTCCCAATACGCTGCACTCTTCTCCTACTCCGGAGCGGAGATGCGGTTCACAAGTGAGGCGCTGTGGGAGGTGGCCCTGGCGGCTGAGAAGAAGGGCACGGGCGCCAGGGCTCTGCGAGGAATCATGGAGAATGTGCTGTTGGAGGCTATGTATGATGTTCCAGGCTCGGTACGTCTATGTATTCTGTTTCCTGATTTTTTCCCCGGTTCGATTCCTGGCTGTTTTCTTTCCTTTCCTCGGTATCCTTCCTGAGTTTATGACTGATCGCCCGTGACTAGAGTGTTCGCTACGTGCTCATCACCCCGGCCGTGGTCCGTTCTGAGCGGCAAGCCTTCTACTGGTCACGTGGGGAAGGCAATCTTTTCTGGAGCGCTCTCGCCGAAGAGGAGATGAAATGGGCCGAAGGGAGAGGGAAGGAGTTCATCGAGGAGGATACCGCTGCTTCAAGTGCATCTGAGCAGGGACAGGAAGAGTCAGAGTCGATCAAGCCGTTGCGTGCGGCCGCTGGAGGGTCGAATATCCCTTGATAGGCTGTGGTTGACCAGCCTCGAGTCTGCAAACCGCTGTTGGCTGGTAGTTCCCCTTAACGCCATGGGGGGTGTATATGGGAGAGGTGTACGGTATATCTCATGATCAGATGCCATGGATTGTATCACACATGTTGTACAATAGCCAATGATCGGATGTGTTAGATTTCTTTATCTTTCTTCCCTGCAGCCACTGGAACAATTGGTACAATCAAGCTGGGCCCAAAGCGTGCTTCCACAAGAATTGGGCCATTCTGTCACCCATCTCCGGCGTAGTCTCGTGCCCCTTGCTCTCCTGCACCCACACCTCCTTCACTCCAGATGGCCCGACCTCCAGCTCATCAATCCAAGCAGCACTGACAGAGTGTGGGACAGACTTGTCTTCCGCTCCAGAGAGGACGAGGATCTTCTTTCCTACATACGGGTTGCCGGGTTCGTTAAGCTTGTTAGGCTGCTTAGCTGGGTCAAGTCGCTCCATCAGGCGGAGCATGGAGTTAGGCATAAAAGGCGGTCCGAAGGGCGTTCCGCGTTCCTCGGCACGTCGCTGGAAGAGAGGGATGAAATTGGGGGCTCCGATAATAGGGATGCCCACGGTGAGACGGGGCTCGTTCGCGAGCGCGACCCAGGTGGCATGACCACCCAGGGAGACGCCAGCTGCTGTCCAGAGATCAATGGTACGCTCATCCATGGGGTAGAGGTAGGGTGGGAGAAAGTCGATCAGGAAGCTGATGTCCTTCGCTGTACCGGTGAAATGACCGTACATGTCCATTCTGGAGGACGCTAGTCAGGCGAGGGACGAGATGAACAAGTAGTAGACGGACGCATGTGTATCGTTGCCACCGTCGTAACTGCCTTTGGGACCCCAAGACCAGTTCTTCGCAACGTCGAGCATACGATGGCCGTGATTGCGTTGATCCTACTGATCTTCAGCAGGCTGACATGCTCGGTCCAAGATCATACTCACGAAGGATATGATCACCAATTCATGCGAGGGCTTCTCCTTCTTACGTTGCTCATCGAAGTACTCGAAAGCCCGCGCAACGAGCTCCAGCATGTTGGGGTTGTCGTGTTTGCCAGTGCGGCCATGGGTGAGGAACAGGACTGCCACAGGCAGGTTGGCGATGTTCTCCCCATGCTCAGCGGTCTTGTACACGTTGACTTCCAGGCCGGCGACGTTCAGCTTCGAGGTGGTATAGTGGGCAGGCATGGTGAGCGGAGAGAAAGCCTGGTGGACGAATGTATAGTCATCTTGAAGATAAGGCTCAGGCGATGACCCATGTCGGCGTTATGTGAATCACAGAAGGAATGAGCCGACCATCACGGACAAAACACGGATGAACATATGGGCCGAAATTGAGGGCGATGATGAAGACTACTATGGGAACCACTGCATCTTGTGCACAGACGCAAAGACTTGTCGTAATTGCGAAGCCGACTTTAATTCAATCAGCTAGTGGCAGTGTTACGGTAATGATATTATCAATGGTTCATTAATATTCAACAATACAGTAAGTTTGTCATTGTCTACAATGATGGTCCGGTCAATTCACACCCAACAGGTTCTTCCACATCCCCCCTCCCCATTCGCCAAGCACCCTCTCAACCTCTCCCGACTCCACGCCCAGTTGGACTTTCCGCTCCGCCTCTCCTCTCCTCATCGCCTGCACCCCTTCTTCCAACAGGAGCACTTTGGCCGCCACCAGTGCTCCTAGGACCATCCTGAGCTCCGGGACGGTTGGCTTGGCAGGCTGGAACGCAGGGTCTGCGAGAGTCGCATAGAGCCCCAAGTGCTGGTATGCCACGTCGGACCATTTGACCTCTGGAACTCCCTCTCTTCGGGAAACCTTGACGACAGCGACGAGCATGACTTTCTCTGCGTATGTGCATTCCCTGAGGAACGTAGCAACGGGGGAAGCCTGCATCTGGCGCATGACAGCATTCACGTCTCCTATGGTGACCGTCTTGAACTCTCCCTCTGAACCGCGGGCAAGCTCCAACGACCGACGGGAGATATCAAGGATCCGGCGTGCGTCACCAGATACGCCCGCAACGCGCATTGCCGCGATCTGCACCGCGTCTGGGTGCATGAGTTCTTCTGCTTGCAAAATCCCGCCCCTCAAGCGGGAGAGGACGATCTCCTTCAACTGGTCTCTCGTATAAGGCGCAAAGTTGATCCGTTCCATGCCTAGCCGGGACCGCACTTTCCCAGCCATGACCCGCTCGGGGAGATCCATCGTGTTAGCCACAGCGAGGACGACGAGCCTGCTGGAAGGGAGGGTAGGCCAGTTGAAGAAGTTGTACACCACGTCTTGCTTGGTGGTGATAAGCTGGTCAAGCTCGTCCATGAGCACCACACTATCATGCTATCAGCTTCAGCCTTGGTCCTTGCGTGGAAAGACAAACAAGCATCCCGCTTCTGGGCCTCTCTTCCCGCTTCGCTCAAAATACCCCACCAGCCGGCGAAGCGCTTCCCCAGGGGACACGCGCTTCTCCTCGCCGGAGACGACCCGCCAGAGCTCGGCATACGCCTCCCTCGCACCTGTCAGCTTGAGTCCGTTCACTTCGAGAAAGGTGAAAGGGGGGATTTCCTGCTGGGTGTTAGTGCTGATCTAGAGGGAAGGGAAGGGCGTACTGAGGCTTGGGCTCTTGCGTGCAGAGTTCGAACGACGGCGTGCACGGTCGCTGTCTTCCCCGTTCCTGGGACACCTGAGATATCTGCATCTCGTTAGTCTCTTACAGCATGGGCAAGTATAGAAGTTTGACATACAGATACATCCACCCTCTCCTTCCTCCAACAGACCCTCCACTTTGCCTAGCACGCTCTCGAATTCCTGTTCTCGGCAGGGCAAGTCATCCGGGGTAGCGCTCACATGCAGAGTCGCAAGTGCGCGCATCCAGGGGTCTTCAGGCAGGGACGAAGCCCACTTGGTATTCGAGGGGATAGGGACTGCCCGCCGGCGGGTTTTGCTAGGCGTGAGGAGGGACATGCGTGGTTGACGACCTCGACGACGAGCAGAAGTCGGTGTCTTGGTTGAAGGTTGCCCGCGGGGCTTGCGCGGTGTCTTTGTAGGAGAGGAGTTGGTGCGTGACTTGCGAGCCTTGCGTGGTCGGGACGACGCGTCGGTGTCTGCTTCAGAGGGCGAGGCTTCTTCCTCTTCTTCATCCCCTGAGGCCGCATCTTCAGACTCAGAGTCCCCACTAGCAGGCGCATACACGTCCCCGCTAACCCCCTCACTCTCCTCTTCCACCTCTCTCTGCTTCCTCTTCCCTCCCCTCTCCGCCTTCCGCTCGCTAGGGGGAGGGATATGCATTTCCCACTCTCCCTCTTCCAGCCCCTTCTTACGCACAACATTCCAGTCGATACGCGCATAGTTCCTCGCACGCTTGTCCAGCGCGTAGTAGCATACGAACTCGTCGTCCCAGTGGTCGGTAGAAGCATGCGGGGAGGAGGCAACTTGACAGTGTCCCAGAATCGCAGAGAGCGGGAGGGCAGGACACTGCGATGTGCAAGAGTAAAAGATCTCGTTCTGCTCGCACATGACCATGAGCGTCTTAAGCTACACCAAGGCAAGAAACGCACCCATTCGATCGCTCGTTTCTCCTTAACCTTGGGCAATTGGTCCTGTCGGAAAAACCAATGTACTCTCGCGTACTTCCTCCCTTCCCCTTCCCTGTCTTCCTCGCCCTCTCCTCCTTCCTCTCCTTCTTCCTCGCCCTCGATCTCCACACTCCATATCTCTGTTATAACACCCACATGATGTTTCTGACTTCCCTCAGCTTCCACAAACACCGTGTCCCCTCTAGCGAACACCTCCTCCTTCGCCTCCCGCCCCCCTTCGCGTTCCCGTTCGCGCTTACCCTCCTTAACCCTCTTCCTCCCCCTCCCCCCCTCCGGCCAGTTCCGTACAAACCTCTCATACCCCTTCACCCACCCCTTCTCCCCCCCTGTCCGCTGGGCAAGGTCCGGCAAGTCCTCTACCGGCTGCAGTACTCGGCGGGAGAGAGGCGCCTCAAGGGAGTCATGAGCCGTTGAGAGCTCGTGTGCGCGTACGCGGACAACTTGGCCTGCGTGCCGTTTTGGGTAGCGGTTCGAGGGTGTTCGGTTGGGCGTGGACATGCTTGTGCTGTTCTACGGTGGAGTGAAGCAGTCGAACACGCGTCCGTCAGGACGCGACGCAGGGCCCCAAGGGTAAACGGCCATTTGCTGGTCACGTGTGGTCCTTTGCATCAGCGCAAGGACTCCAGCATGAAGTCAAGCCTAACTCATGCAAGATCGAATCCCCTATCGCATCATTGGAATGGTACGAACTGCCCTTTTTCTCTTCGCAAACGTAGTTGTTTCGTGATCTGCGAGAGCACGCACAACCGGAAAGCACGAGATATCCATGATATCCCACGCCTTCGAATTCATTGTCAGGACCATGTTGGTCCCATTACAAATTCTCGGCATTGGTTTCACAGGCTACTGGACATGAGGTTCTATTTTGAGGGTGATCCGGACAGGCGAATATGGCTGTTGACGTGCTTGAAAATAGGCAACACACTCCCAGACACTCGGGTTTGGGTTCCGTCGAGATTTGATTAAACTTGCATTTTCGTGTAATCAGTGACTGAGAAGAGAAAGCCAAAGATCTGTCCTTGCGTAGACCGTCGCCAGTTCTCGTGGAATAGATGATTCTTGAGAATTGTATGTAGCGAGCACAGATCCACTCCTCGCTTCCCAAGTGTTTGACAGACACGACCATCAAGGTGGGATATGAGCACTAGACCCTCTTCGATTGAGCAATCCATCAACATCCAGCAGGACTAAGCACCTATTCAAATGAAAGCAGAATATGTACTATAGAGTGGAGACTGTGCTGTTTGAGTTCCTTGTGATGCCGAACGAGTGGGTGGTGGTGGAAGACACCTAAGATGTGCCTCCTGCCACGCAACCCATCAAGGTCTTCTCCCAACATCCAACCCTGATATTGTTCCGCCTGCCCTCTCTTCCTCCTGTTTCTTTCATGAACTATCTGCCCATGCAGCACCCCTTCAACAAGGAGAAAGTATGTTCTCGCCAACTCTGATCAGCCAGCAGTCAGCATTTATAAGGCAGAGAGCCCTCCACTTGGAGTGAGTCAGAATATAACTAGTTGCTCATGGTCAAAATCCAATTACACAATAGTTTTCGGTCATAATGTCAATTTGTCACTTCGACAGGTTCATGGTGGGGGAAGGCAGTGGAAGGAGTGGGGATATTCACAAGGGTCTGGCAGCAACGTTTAGGAGGCTGGAGCAGAGCATTAAGAAGGATGGGATGGAGGTGAAGCAGTTGAAGGACTTTATCCAGAGGAGGGAGGAGGTGCTAGAAGCAAAGAAAAAAGAGGGAAGTAATGGGAATGCCAGGAGTTGGTGATATGTAGCAGGGTATGTGTTGTAACTTGGATTTAATGGAATTAGAATCATGCATTATCTATGGCCTGCATTGAGATAAGCTTCTCATATTTATGCCATAAAACAGTGCTCACAGAATAGTAGCAACTATTGTCCTCTGCCTGCTGCTACTCCTAAACTTGGTCAAGTATATCCCCTGCCATGTCCTCAGGTTCAGTCAACCATTCATGATCAGTATGCTGAGTGCATTGCCAATCAAGGAGGTCTTGGTGTGGGAGATGCTGTCATCCATTCCTTCATCTGTGTGTTGCCAGGTGTTAGGGCAACACAGGCTGACTAAGTCTGCTCACCTAAGAGTGCCAAGAGTCTAAGCAGGCAACAAGGAAGT